CGCTACTCTAGGCTATCTTTATTGCCAGCTAGGCGTGTCCACCAGATCTCAAACTGCCTCATTACCTGGGTGCTTCACACTACTTCAGGCATGGATATGAATACTTTCCACACTTCAGACCAAGTGCGGGGCGTGTCTCAGGGGATCCTGCAATGCGCCGAGCTGGATGGTAGAATGTCCCAATTCCTGATAATAGTGCAGGTCATCTGAAGAAGCTTCGGCGAGAGATTGACGCCCTGACAGATGCGGATGCATGTCACATTTAGTATTCTTAATTATGATTTATTATGAAAAATATCATTGTTAACATTTCTTATGTTTTGTGTGTAGGTGACATGCTTGCCTTATGGACTCGACCCTGTTGCCTTATGCTTGCCTGCACGAGTATTGTGCCGGATTGGGTATATCCAGACCATTCCTCCACCTATCCCAAGTCCCTCAAAGGTGGTTCGTAGTAGTAAATCCAAGCTGTGCAAAGTTATATGGTCACGCACCATTGCGTAAGACGCTTGGAGGCAATTCCCTTAAGTAGCAAGTTCGATCTAGCTAAGTTGCAGCCGAGTGATACAGATGAGACTGCATGCGTAGATGGTTATCTGAACTGGTACTTTTGAGTTTTGCATCCTCTGCTGGTTTTGAATCGTGATACTGTTGGCACCTCGAGAGTTGGAGTTGGAAACATATCTCACGTAAGTCTTTTGTCCATTATAAGGTTAGTAAATTTCGCTACCATTTATTTAATATAATATTAACTGTATTTTCTTATTATTATATATAGTGGGTCAACCGATTGTCTTCTGTGTTATATGGAGCCACACTACGTGCCTTGCGCAGAGTTGATCCGGAGACTACAAGAGAACATGAGGCATTGTTTGCTCAATTAACCTCTGAGTTTCATTCGAACCAATGATGTGTTACTTATTGGATTTCTATCCGACAAAGTGATCCGTGTTTAATTAGGATATTATGTGTTACTTATTGGATTCTATTTGACAAAGTGATGTGTGTTTAATTATGATATTATTTGTTACTTATTGGATTTCTATGTCACCAAGTCATTTGCTCTGAAACATATGAAATTTAAATAACTAGATTTAGCAACTTAAAACAAATTCTTTTGATGGGTAAGTCAGCTACTCACTAAATGGACATAGGCGGCTCCTCACAGGGCCTACTCGTGAGATTGTGCTTATTCACCTTGGCTATACTGACCATTACATTTGTGCTGAGTTAGGTGGTGATTTCCTTGTACCTCGTATACATCCACATTGGTATGACGAGGCTGAGAACAGTATTATTGGATGGGATAATATGTATCAGGATAGGATAGCAGAGTGGAGCTGCCTATGTCCATTTAGTGAGTAGCTGACTTACCCATCAAAAGAATTTGTTTTAAGTTGCTAAATCTAGTTATTTAAATTTCATATGTTTCAGAGCAAATGACTTTGTGACATAGAAATCCAATAAGTAACATATAATATCATAATTTAACACACATCACTTTGTCAAATAGAATCCAATAAGTAACACATAATATCCACATTGTATCTAGGTGAAAACATGCTCGATCCCATTGTGGATTTTGATCCACATTGTATCTAGGTGCAGGTTCGACGTCTTAAGAAACTGCTTCAAGGCACTATGAGCGCTCTCCACCCTACAATTGTTGGTGTTCTCCAAGTGTGTCACATGATCTGTCCACGCATGAGCTCATTTCTTCCTGTGAACTAACCAGGTCTCCTCGAGATATGTCACCAACTTTCCATAACTTGTAGCATATGAGCTTGAAGGGGAAACATTGTAGTACAATAAAAGTGCAGGTCCGACATCCCTAGACTGAACATGCAATTAAAAATCCTCATTGTTATTCTAATACTATTCATAATACTATTGGTAATACGAAGTGAAAGAAAAATACAATAATATAATGTAACTGATCTCAGTGAAAACATGCTCGATCCTATTGTGGATTTTGATCCACATTGTATCTAGGTGCAGGTTCGACGTCTTAAGAAACTGCTTCAAGGCACTATGAGCGCTCTCCACCCTACAATTGTTGGTGTTCTCCAAGTGTGTCACATGATCTGTCCACGCATGAGCTCATTTCTTCCTGTGAACTAACCAAGTCTCCTCGAGATATGTCACCAACTTTCCATAACTTGTAGCATTTGAGTGCATGTACGCCTTCATTCCTGCCTTTGCCATTGCATATTCATACTCAGTATGAGCTAGAGGTATATCGCTGAATACGTTGTCCATCCACCAAGTTGCGAATTCAATACCACAATACTGACGCGCGTGTGTAACAACACATCTGTCGATGTTCCACACGCACAGAAGATATGCTGACTTTGGAAACCACTTACTGATTGGACCTACCAGTCCTAACTCCCTGTCTGTCACTATGGCCGTAGGATGCACCTCCCATCCAATTAAATTTCGCAACTGCTCCATCACCCAATCATAAGTGTCCTTTGTTTTATCCTTCATAATTACATATGCAATCAAGAAATTCTTATCGATTGGAGTCATCCTAATAATTTGCAATAATGGCATCTTATACCTATTTGCTCCGTACGTAGTATCCATACCAATGTACTACCTGTAGACTCTGAGCAACTATACAGATATTGGATGTGCCAAGAAAATATTACTCAATATACCTGAATCATGGTCTGTAAAAATCACATAACCGTGCTGCTTAGCAACGATAAAAAACTGCTCCACCAAAGCTCTACCCTCAAAGCTCTCCAATCGCAACCTACCCTTATAGTTGTATATCTGTTTGGGGACAACGTAATTGTCAGAGCATTGAGCATTAATTCGCTTTACCATTGCAGCCGGTTTTGATCCAAACATCACCATTTCCTTAACAATCTCCTTCGCTTTATCGCTAAGCCCATTCATATGCCTCTGTCCTTCCCTGAATGTACCAAACGGGTGATTATGCGTACCCTTAGGACCTTGTACAGTATGCCAAATGAAGTATCATCATCCCGCATTTCGACTATAAGCTGGAACTGGCATCCACAACACTGCGTCTTCGTATTTCGCACCTTATTGTCTGTCTCTCTTGGGGGAAGACTCTTTGGACATCTCAATAATTTTGACGTTTTACTTCTCCATGACGCAATAACAACCTCAAAACCGAGAGATTTTGCAGTCTATTTTGCCCATTCTATAGCATCATCAAGATTTCGAATCTAATGCGAGTCTTGAAATGAGAACTATAGTCAACACCATCACCACCATAATCCTGTAATGAAATATAATCAAATTTAACAAACTGAAATATATATAAAAAATAACTAAACAACTAAGTATATTAAATTATGTATGACACGCCTAGTCAATAATTTATAATTTAAATCTAATTATCTTACATAATAGTCAATTAACACTATATTAAATTTTATTTACATAAATAATATAATTTAAATGTAATTACATTTATTACACACTAACAATTATTATCAATAAATACAATACAAAGATGTAATGACCACTAAATAAAATTTAATTTACGTAAACAATCATTTAGTACTTATTTAAGTTTAATTAAATTAAATAATTTAAACAATAAAGATTGATACTACTCATTTAAACAAACTAATTATTAAAAAAATATATTAATAATAACTAAATTGAATATAACATAAAAAAAAATTAGAAAAAATGAAAAAAACACAAATTGCTCAAGTAGTCGGGTCAAAACCGGCTAGCATAGCCCAAGTAGCCGGTCAAGGACAGGCTCCTTCTAAAAGGGTAGCCCACGCTTGGTCGGCTACCTTTTTAGAAGGAGCCGGTTCCGGACCAGCTGCTCGAGTTATGCTAGCCGATTTTGACCCAGCTAGCTTTTGAGGGGTAGCTGGTTGACCGCCGGCTACCCCTGTCCAGAATGTTTTTTTTTTTTTAAAAAAAAATAATTTCTAAGAATTTTGGCAAAAACAACATACCAAATTTGAGGCCAAGCCTTCCGGTGCTTGATTCTCTTGTTCCGCCATTTTTTTCAGCTCCAAAATTTTGTAGATCTGAGTTTGACATTATGATTTTTTTGGTTTCTTTTCTTTGAGAGTTGAAGAAGAAGAGAAAGAAATTATTTGAATTTGATTGTTTTAGTACCCTTTGTAGTAGTTAGGGGCAAAAAAAGTCCAAATGACTGTAAATGAGCGATTCTTATAACTGTAAATAGCCATGTCTCTTCCAAAAAATAAAAATAAAAAGCAAAACTTTATTTTTTTTGTTAATATTAAACACATATATAAAAGTATACAGAAGATATGATTATATAAATAGGGTAGTTTTTTTAACCAAAAAGAAAAAGAAACAGAGCCCACTAATAGTAGGGGCAATTGCGTCACTTTACACTGAAAATCAGATGATGTCAGCAGCTAATGTCATTTTATGATAAGAAAAGGTTGGTTCTGTTAGCCGGATCAAAGGTGGAGGGGGTATTGGTAATATGTTCAAAAATCAAGGTGCATTTAGTTAAGGGGCGAAAACTCGGGGGAATAAAATGTAGTTTGCCCTTTAATGTTTTGTGTCAATTTGTGGCTGCAGTTGTCTTCTGTGTAATTTCCAAAGACGGCCTCCGGGGAGTCCAGAGGCTGACCTTAAAAGTTAAATCCAACCATATCCAGAACAGGCTTGAAGCGTTACAACTGGAACAAACCAACCCTGGAGAGTTGGAAATTAAATTAAACATCGGGAGATAGATGTTGGAAATTAATCCCACGTGAGGTCGACGTTGAACTTCTGGTCATCCTTTTGGCAGTTTTGTCTGTGAGCCTTCCAAATCGCGAGAAAGACGTGCCTTATTTACTTTGATTGCTTAGCGGAAAGCTCTGGCCCTTTCAACCATGCATCTATTTGGACTCAAACCACCAAAATGGATCCTTAATTACCAAGTACTAACCTCATATAAATACTGCCTAGCTAACTAGGCTGATCGATGAATCTACAGGAAACCACAACTTTTTAGCTTCTTGGCTGCTCCAAACATGAGTCATGTTCAAACCAGACAGTTAATAAACTACAACAACCTTGAAACATTTGAGATCTTTTATCAGAGCTGGCTGATTCGTCAAGAACAGTATCTTCAAGAATTAGTCCAGGCATTACAATGTTACAGCAACGACGATGAAGAAAATGAAGTGAAGCACAAGGAGCTAATCGCCAAGGTCATGGATCACTACGCTGAATACTCTGCAGCCAAGGGAAAAATTGCTCAGGAAAACGTGTTTCTGCTGTTTAAAGCTTCCTGGTTAACCTCGTACGAACGAGTCTACCTCTGGATCGGTGGCTTTAGACCGGTGCTTGCATGCAAAATCCTGTCAAGCTTATCAGACTTGACCGAGGATCAATCCAAGAGAATCAGTTCCCTCACTGCTCAGACCAAGAAGGAAGAGACAGAACTGTCAAACCTTCTTTCAAGGGTTCAGGAGAGTGTGGTAAAGTTACCACTACTAACACCTTTTTGTTTATCTTAATTAGTTTCTTCAATTGGTCGAGCTCAATTGTTCTTAAATGTATACTCCTTCTGTTCTAAAATTATTATTTGGATTTTTATTTTTAGTTTAATAATTTGTACTAAAAGCGAAAATTTAAACTGTAAATAATTTTGGGCGTAGAGAGTAAAAAACCGACCATTCATATACTCTTTCTGTCCCAAAATTATTGTTCAGTTTGGATTTTTATTTTTAGTACAATTGTCCAGTTTACTGAAAATAAAAATTTAAACTCAACAATAATTTCATCAGGACAGATGAATAACAGCAACCACCGTAATTAGTGAAAAATGTCGTAAGTGTCCGCCTACATTCAAATCAACCAAATGATTTACCTAGATCTTGCCTTTTTATGGTCTAATGCAGGTGGATCCTCGAATAGTAGCATTAGCTACGCATCTGGGGCAACTTCGGAATGGAGCAAACGCTGATACAGAGTCTGCTACAGAAAAGCTAAGAATATCAATGGAAGCGCTATTAGAGTGCGGTGATTATGTGAGAGAGAAAACTGTAATGGAGATTCTCGAAATACTATCCACTCCACAAGCATTGGGATTCTTGGCAGCCGCTGCTCAATTCCAGCTCACTGTCAGGGGATACGGATTGCGGACGGATGCCAACCGCCCAAGTTTTTAATAATGCACCTTAACAAAGGAAAAATTTGCAACTTCAATCAGCAAAATCAGTGCCGTAACTCATAACGGAGGTTATATAGATAGCAGCATCTGCATACGAAAATGCCTTTAAATTTCCAAAAGATTACTGTTTGCAGCTTTCACGAATTAGATGAATGGAAAACTCTTGTACTTGACCTGAAGGTCCAATAACAGTAATGATTTCAATCATCAGACATATTAAAGCCTATGCGATACCACAATCGACCATCCTACTGTTTTTAGTTCATGTCATCATGTGATACTTCAAACAGCAGCAAGAATCACTCCCTTAAGCAAAAAAAAAAAAAAAAGAATCAGTTTAATTTGGGCAAATTATTGTGTCAACTCTACCCAAGGAGGGCCATCTTCCATCGATCCCCAAATAGCAAGCATTGATAGAAATATATTGGCAAACATGAATCAATCAGATCAAGCAATAATCATGCAAACACGGATCAAGAAACGAGAATAGTTGTAATCTGATTCAACCACGTAATTACCTCCCACCGAAATGGTCACACCCATTAATTATAACGAAGACCTCCTGTTCTTCTGGGCCTTCTTGTAACTGATAACTGGACATGGCCAATTAACGGTTGACTTCGGTGTCGTGGAACGGGTCTTCTTGCCTGAAACGGATGAAAAACCACCTTCTAATGTCTATCAATTGCAACACCCAACCCCTTTTAGGCTTTGAGTTTTTCTGGAAGAAACAGAGTGAAAAAACGGATGTAAATGATTGAATGTTGTGTGTTGTTCCCACGTGTGTTTTAGGTTTAGGCCTTTAGGAATTAGGGGGTTACATTTGGACTACAAAAGCGAGAGGTCCAGGGCCTGAGTGGTCAGCCTAAACCTAAAGTCCACCAGGACAATAGTTTCAAACATTGTGTAATAGACCACCAACATAGAAATGGCATTGGAATTGTTACAAAATTCCATTCGGATCAGTGCTTTGAATTCCAATCATTTTCATCAACGTTTTACAGCAATACCGAGCAAATAATAGCTGACCATATACAAAAAAAATAAAATAAAATAAAAATGCTGGAGTTTACAAAACCAAAGATTATAATAGCAAGACCACTTAATCAATCAAACTCGGTATCTGATGAGAGGGTCTTTGGAATGAAGGCGTTCATGATAAATTCTCCAGGCATAATCCTCGAAGGAGAAGGGATTGAATATCCTTTCTTCTGTGGAGGTGCAACTGCCACGGTCATCGTCTTCCGGGTTGATTTCATCGGCTCCGGCGAGGTCGTTGCCGTCGGAGACTAAGTTGGGAAGCAGGGGAGAGACGGTGCTGTCAATCGGAAGGGTAATCAACATTGTCATGGTTATCCATTTTTCCGAGTCCCCTGCAGCCATTTTCGGTTGTGCAGTTACCACTGGTCTCCCTTTCACTTTCTTTACCTTCCCATTGCTCCATACCTGCCATTATCAAACCATTCCATTTTTTAACTTCATAATCTTCACCCATTAATTAATTAGTGTAAGAAACTTTATAGTTTATCGTATTGGTTCGGACTAAGTAAATGTTTCTTTTTTCCTTCACATCATATAGCATAATAAATAGTAATGTAACAGACCACATTTTTAATACTCTCTTTCTCGAGATGATCGCGTTATTTGGATTTTCATTTTAGATCATGGTAATATTCATAAGTCATTTCATAATTGTAGAATTATGACCGTAATGGTTAGGTTGCGTGATTGGATTTTCAGGAAAGTGTGAATGGGTGTAGAGCCCAAAAATTGACTGATTACTTCAGAAAACAACTAAACGCATTAATGAATTGCAACCAGCTGATAATCAATTTAGAAAATGAATACCATGATAAAGAAATGTCTTAACACTAAGCCGCCCAGAAATCATGCTTATTAGTAACCTTATTATTATGTGGTACTGCACTATTTTCATGATTTCGTGTCAAACGAAACAATGTGAATGACGACGGAGACATGTCCAAATATATCATTTCATCAAATAATTATATAAGCTAATTAAGTTGGCGCTCTCTGTGGGTCCTTTTGGCGGCTATCTGAGCCCCATTATTTTGAATCTTGCATCTAATCACTCATTAACAAAAACAAACAAGGATCCCATCTCATCAAAATCATTCACCAATATCTTTCTAAATGATAAATCTAATCCCAATTTGTCTCCCCCCCCCCCGCCCCCAAAAAAAATCCCATAGTTCTTTCACATTAATCACATTTAAGCATGAAATTTTATTTTATTCCATTTGTTCTAAAATAAGTGTCATTCTAAAGTTTGCACACAGTTTAAAAAAAACATTAGATAAGATAGCTAAATTACTATAATATATTCAATCAACCCCCTTAAAATAAAGACTCACCAATAATATTATTTCTTTTGAGAGTATGTTTGGAAATTTTTGACAAAATATGTATTGGAACATGAAAACGACACTTGTTTTGAAATTTTTTTATTTTACTAAAAGTACACTTATTTTGAAAATGAGGAAGTATTGAGGTTTTGATGATGATCTTATAATCAAAGTCATGATGATAAATAAATTAAAGAAAAAAGTGATGCTTATATAATCAAATACACGTAACCTTTTTTACCTGAGCAATGTCGCCAAGCGTGACTAGAACGAAGTCCACTTCCGGCGAGACAGCGACCTGACCCGAATCCGTCAGAATCGAATACTTCTGGCAACGCATTTGGTACTGCAAACTGACAACATACGGGTAGATTCGACCCGGTGTTTCCGGTCTGGTATTATTACTGGCGGAGCCCTCTGATAACCACATCAGAGAACACACCCGGGCCGCGTCATTTCGGGCCGGATTCAGAAACCCGCAAGCATCCGACAAAGCTCCCACAACCTGCCGCCCAAGTTTCTCCATTTCAGCTATGAACTCCCGTAGAGAAGTCAAGTTTAACTCCGATGATGACTCAGCAGAACAACAAGATGGGTCGAGGCAGAATGACTCATCTCCAGACGGATAAGTCGAGCTTCCGTCATCGCCGTCGTCTTCGCCGGAGACGTCGTATCCCAGGGGCCAGTTTTTTGGGAAGTGGAGCCGTTTTTCGCGGTGGGAAAGGTTGAAGAGAGATGAAGCATCTGACTCGGCGGATTGAGCGAGTTTGGAAGGAATGGAGTGGTTAGAGAGCTGGAAGAATCCGTGGCCGGAGGCGGCGGAGAGGATGTCGGAGCAGAGAGTTTCAGTTGGCTCGCAAAGGCTGATGAGTGGAGGAGTGACGGTGGTCGTGGGCGGAGAGGAACGGCGAGTGGGAAGAGAGAGGTTTAGAGTTGGGGTTAGACGGTGAAGGAGACAGGAGAAGATGTCGGCTGGTGCGTCTGAAGAAGTGGTATTGTTGTTGTGATGGGCTGAAGGAGTAGGCGGCGGAGCGGAGGTATTGCCGTAGGGGTTTGGATGAAGGTGCAGGTGAAGTTGTTTGTGGGCTGAGGAGGATGCCATGAGAATTTATTGGTGTCGATTTCTTCGATTTTACAAAATATTCACGGATGTATAGCGTACTTATATAGTACTCCCTTTGAATTATGGACCTGTTTTTGATGCTTCTTCGGGTTAGGTGTATAAAATATAGTACATTTCCCGTTTTCTTTAGTTTTAGTTTCAAGTGATAAAATACAATAGAGTATATATATGTATCATGATGTATGCATACAATATTTATGTCAAAATTTGACAAGGATTGTCACGTAGCTTGTTGGAGAATCGTGATATCAACTTACATTATTGACTTTTTTTTGGCTACTGCCCTTTAATTTATTCGGAGAACAATATTGACAGATTTAAATTGTTTTTTTTTTTATTTTTTTAAAAAATTTTAATTAAGCGTGGAGAATAAATCGATAAATGCTAGATGACACAAAGTGGGCCATTGAATTAATCACAAATCCATTAATGTCCAGCATGGAAGCTTGCATACACACCAGTTTTGCCGGACTGCTTTGTCGTTGTGTTACGAATTTCATTAATCGTCACTCTTTGGTTTAGTAGTATTTTGATAGAACCATATGAGATATAATCTTTAAGACTTGGATGTAAAACAGTAATTAGGACAGTGGACTCACTTTATCGAGATAAATCCATATTCGATATGATCATAAGCGTGCACACACACATTCAAAATACCGCTGTTGGGTTTAATCATTTGTAACCTTGTGCTCAAGTCAAGCACAAAATGCGTATAGGAACCAGTAGTTTATTTCGCATTTTACGTACATCACACTGTAGTACTAAATTGAGATGTGTTATGAACACAATTAACATGCAAAGGGATGTTTCGATCAGAGCGTAATTCTATATGGAGTGGCTCCAGAGATCACGTGTATGCATCGGGTGCATGTTAAAGGTTTTTTGCTGCATTTTTTTTTTTTTAGTTTTTCGGTATTGCAAGTTTTTAGTGAATTGGCTTTACAGCCTTTTTCTGGCAGGAGGATGGCAGGATGCGGGCATGTTATGCGGGAGGGGAGGCCAGGAAATTGTTGTGGCTTTCGATGTGAGGAGCCCAGTTAGTTCAGTTGACCTGACCACAGTACCCATTTGGTTCCATTTTTATCTTTGATTAAGTAGGGATTATTATTAGACATCATAAATTCAAGGTACTATAGTTATTTCATAGATAGGCAACACATAATATCATGACTTTTTTTTTTAATATATATTGTAGGGTGTACATTATCGATATCAGTGACTAATTCTCTTTCTCATAATAGGCGTCTGTCTACTTTGATGAGTAAGAGCGCTGGCTAAAAGATTTAAGGTTTCCCATGACCTAATTTCTGATAGCAAATAATCCAATTTACTCAATTTATCTATCCGATGTCATCGATCAGAAAAATGAAGTGAACCAGGATGGAATTAACTTCTCTATAAACATGACATGAACATACGAGCTCCCAAATATCCGCCTAATTTATTTCCAATGGGGTGCCATATGCCTCGTTTTCGTGATTCTGTGCAATAAATAAACTATCAAAAGCTAGCACATAATTTATATTTGCTCCACCTTGCAAGCACTGAGCAGACATCAACAGACTATGTGGAACCAGGCATTACCATGTTTCATTACTTCCATTTCGAGGTACACTTCGAAAAACTTTTAGATACGGTTTTTTTTTTTTTTTTTGTTTCAGTTTCCATGAAATACAAAATTATTTTGGTTAAATAACTAATATACATCTTCATTACTAAATATATATGCTTTGAATTGGAAACAAACTAAATACGAGTACAATTATAAATGTGTGAATTAAAAATATCTTGTAATTAGAAGTGTAAGAACGATTTTGAACCGGATGTAATTAGATTTCCATCATCGTCATTTGTCAACAATTTCCCATCCCGCAACTCCTATACTAGTTGATGATGCACTGAAAGCTCCGCCCACTCAAATGAATAAATCCGGTGCAGAAGAATTTTGGTTATATGTAACATAAGTGTTCATCACTTCAAACTCTTCCTTTCCATCCCAGAGTTTGCAAGATGTTTTTCTGCTTCGTTCCAAATTTTGTCATTTCTTGCTATCCTGATAGCCCAAATGAAGAGGAAACTTCCTTATGGCGGAGTTACTCGGAGCTGATGTTATCCAATCATTCAACACATCACAAAAAGTAAAGTCATTAGTGTGATTGAATTCAAAGCCTAGAATATATATTAGAGCTTTTTCCCAGATAATTCGAGCTGTGTGGCATTTTCAGGAGAAGGTAATACTGTTTCATATGTTGTTATTTGCAGCTCTCCAATTCATCCCTTGTCCCCTTGTTTGCATTAAACGACGAAGATAAACCTCAATATAATTTGACCAACTCATTTCATAATAACCTGGTCAACGTTCGAGTTCAATTTGACCAGTTTAACGAGCTTATATATTTGCGAATGGTTTACGGAGCCAGTTGGTATATGGATTAGCTCAGTTATTTTCAGGATTAATCCGTTGAAGTGATACGAATCAGCTTCTGGAACTATAATCTGAATACCTTTGGATGGATGCATTCGGCCAATTGTGCCTAGTAAATTATCTCTATAGTTTCTATAGGGAGACTTGACAAAATATGCATCCCAAAACATTTTTGGCTTTGTTTGAAACATACTCATTTTCATTACAGTTAACCCTGAAAAAAAAAAAGAAGAAAAAACAGTTTTCACTATCCATTCTTTTCCCAATTTTGGGTGTTTGTATATAAATAGTTTTTTCCATTTTTAATCTAAATTTGTACAATTGTCACTTTAGCAAGTGTAGCAACTCCTCTAGCTTATTTTTCTTTGGAAAAAAAAAATACAAATGTTTTGGAATAAAAAATTATCGATTTTGTAATATCTACGAACACAAATACAGTATATATTACTCTCTCTGTCCCAAAATTATTATCCAGATTTCACTTTTAGTACAATTTGAATTAGAAATGAAAACCCAAAGAACAATAATTATGGGCGGAAGGAGTATTACTAGGAAGTGGATAGACGAACAAAAATTAGATAATTGACCCCTTATTTTAGTCTAATCTTTTTTCTTTTTTTTTTTGGTTAGACTTGTTCTCAACGCTAATTATTTTTACATTTCGGTCGCTGATTCTTTCTTCATTCCGGCTCCTCATTCCTCCGTTCCGGCTCTCCTTTGGATCATCTGTGGAATGAAATTTACCTCCTAAGTCTGCCGTTGAATTTGTTGCTAAATCATGTTCGCTAAACTATTTCAAAAGCACAGTCCTCGTCCGCCATCTCAGGTGATTTTTTTTAGATTAATTCCACAACATACTTCACCTTCTGATTTGGAAATTTTCCAATTTACTGTTCTTCGCTTCATTCTATCAGTGTAATCAATTTCTGCCATTCCTTATCATCTGATGAACTTCGCCAATTGATATCGGAGACGTTGGAAAACTAATATGATATGTATATTTCCGCCCAATCGCCAAAGCTATTGTTGGAGCTTGGTGAAGGATTTGGACGTCGTTTTTATTGGGATGATAGTGTCGTTTAATTATGATCAACTAGGTCACTCGGCAATAGTAACGTTTGATTCTAATCGCATGTTTTTCTCATTTAAGGTTTGGCTAATTCTCAATTAGAGGCCTTATCTGATGATTACTTCTGTTTACCATTGATTGTACACAATGCACTATCTGATGATTACTTCTGTTTCATTGGTATGGTTTTAGGAAGTGTATTTGGTATTGCTGTTCTACTGGGATTCAAATAGGGAGGTTTTACTTAAGGTTCTAGGTTCAACGTTTTAATTTTGTACATGTTTGTACTTTTTCCTAGAGATTGTTAAGTCTGGTTTTATATCTAGTTTGTATGTTATGTTCCTTGTATGTATTTTTCTTTTTCCTTTTAGGTTTTTTTCCCCCATAAAATAATTAGAGTACCTATACCCATCTATGTTAGAAATTTTATGATCTTTTTCGGCTTACTTTCATTCTGAGAATTTTTATAACTATTTGTAATGGCGTTTTTCAGCAGCGTGGCATGCAGGAAAGCCCTGTATCCTCGATTGTGGCGCCACTTGTGGCTGTTCACTACGGCATCCCATCAACTGCGTCAGTGTTGGCTTTTGACCCCATTCAGAAACTATTGGCTATTGGAACCCTGTGAGTGATGAGTTGCACTTCCGACTCCCTCCAATTTGATCTGCTATAACGCATTGATAAGAAATGAATAAAATAGCATTTCATTGCCCGTATTATTTTTGATGAATTTATTCTTTCTCACAGTGATGGCCGTATTAAAGTGGTTGGGGGTGATAATATTGAAGGCCTCCTTATGTCTCCTAAGTCCATACCATTTAAAAACTTGGAGGTTTGTGAATAAACCTTGAATTGGAGAACCAGTTCACTCCTTTTAAAATTTATTCCATTCTCTGGTGTAATGGGCCAGAACTTTGTACATTGTTTTTCCTCTTGTGCTGCACTTGAACCTCATTTGTGCCAGTATAGAGGATTATTCTTAGGACTACCTGATATAGCATTTGCTTATCCATTTGTAATGCTACACTGTTTGTTTTCAGTTTTTCCACAATCAAGGGTTTCTTGTGAGTGTCTCGACTGAGAATGAAATTCAGGTAAATTTTCTGCAGTCGCTGCTCTATCATCTTGCAATTTGTTGATTTTGTGAGCAACCCCTCAAATGTATCTTGTTGCATCAGCTTCCCCCACGCAATCCTGTTTTCATCTTACTTGATATTTTTGTTTTACAGATTCCTGCTCTCATTTGTTGCTCATTTTATGTTACAAATACAGATTTGGGACCTAGAGAACAGGCGCATATCCTCTAGCTTACAATGGGAGTCTAATATAACTGCATTCTCAGTTATATATGGCACTCATTTCATGTAAGGGTTCATATGTTTTTCCCCCTCTTTTCTGGGGTTTCTGATTAGCTTTACACTTCATTTTGGGAACTGGGAGAAAGGCGAGTTTTGGGCTAATTTCATTTATTTGAATATGCATAGGTATATAGGAGACGAATATGGTTTTCTATCTGCCTTGAAGTATGATGCAGAAGCAGGAGAACTTGTTCAATTAATTTATCATATTCCTGCAAATCTTGTGGCTGGTAAACAATCATTCAGGGACTGGTAAATAAATGTTAATATTTTTAGTCATGTATGTGACCTAATTTTCTCCGCTGTCCTTTTTGTAGATACGTGTCCTAAAATTTTTCATCATTTGACTGTCTGCTTTTTGCGGGTTTCCTTAGGGCTTGATTTATCTAAACTTTAATTCTGCGTGCTGATCTATGATGAAGGTTGTTGTTGTCCTGGGTTCTATGTGATTAGGTAGTTGTAGCTCACTTAGAGCTGTATATCCTTCTTGTATATTCTTACCTAGCATGTAATAAAATGAACCAAATCATTTGGCCGCGCGTATTCCTTTGGGATTTAGACCCTCCATTTCAGCGTTTGGTTGTCAATTGATTTGGCAACTCTCACTTCTACCTAGATACTGCAAGAAAAATTAAATAAGTGGTCTAAACCACAAAAGGTATACCAAATCTCTTTGCAGTTCAATGCATCCCTGACGTCATGGATTTTGGCTTGATATACTTATCAGCGAACTTATTAGTTTCGTTGTTTTCAACGTTAGATTTTATTGCTTGTTGATCTCAGCTTTATTTCGTTACCTGCAACTTCTTGATGCATACTCATGATTTATTTTTCCCTTGAAAATGAAGCTTCACATAGGCCTCATAATCTGTACCCCTGTACTGATAAGGACTACTGTTGTTTCCTTTTTGTAGAGGCAGCAAATTTGCCATTCCCGTTCAACCAGTCAATAGTAGGTGTGCTACCCCAGCCTTCATCATGTGGAGATAGGTAAGGCCATCATGATCGTTTCAATATGCCAGAAAGTAAATCTGATTTCCGATTTTATTCGTAACTCGTCAGCATATATTTTAAGTATTCCTATCTACTAGTCTGTTCAAAAGATTGTGATTCTAACTGCAGGGTTCTGATTGCTTATGAAAATGGATTGATTGTTCTCTGGGATCTTACTGAAGATAAAGCCGTTATTGTTAGAGGAAATAAGGATCTCCAGTTGAAGGATGATACAGTGGTCAAGTCTTCAAATGATGGGAGCACTGAACCCTTAAATGATATATTAGACCAGGAATACGCAGAGAAAGAAATAAGTTCTCTTTGTTGGGTATCTGCTGAGGGGTCATTCCTTGCTGTGGGTTATGTTGATGGAGATATTTTCCTCTGGAACTTATCAGTTTCTGATAACAGTAAAGGACATGCGTCTCAGAAGTCATCCGATAACGTTGTCAAAATACAGCTATCATCTGCTGACAGAAGGCTTCCTGTCATTGTTCTGCACTGGTCACCTAACAAGGTGAAAAATGGATTAGGAGGTCAACTTTTCGTTTATGGTGGCGAAGAAATAGGATCTGACGAAGTATTGACGGTATTACGCAATTCTAACTTATTGATATCTTTGCTTCTTTACTGTGTAAATGATGTATAAAGCTGAACAAAATAAATTACTCCGTCCAGAAAAATAGTTTCCAATTTGAGTTTTAAAGTACAACACATAAAAACATACATTTTCTTCCACTTATACACCCTTTTTATTTAAATATGGACCACAATGATTATTATATTAGTAAGGATATTGAAAGTACTGTAAAATGTTGCTCGCGGGATTCTTGTTTTTGGTCAAAAAAGTGTTTATAAACTAGACCCTTTCTGGTGGGACGGAAGTAGTACACAATTATATGCAGTTAAATTGTCATTTACAAAGGCCTTAAAGATGATGAAGGATCTTTGTTTCCAGTCCTTGTGTAACTAGTATCGCTGATTTTTTATGTTGGTGGGTTCTTTTAATTGGCAGGTCCTTGATCTTGACTGGTCATCTGGGATAGCAATGCTGAAATGTGTCCATCGAATTGACCTTCCCCTTCATGGATCTTTTTCGGATATGACACTGATTGCAAGTACTGGAGAAGTAGAGAGGAACAACGGCTTATCATTACTAGTGTTGACCAACCCAGGTCAACTACACTTCTATGACTACTCTTGCTTGTCTACCTTGAAGTCTGAGCCAGAGAAGAAGCACTCTGATGTAGCAGTTGAATATCCTGCCGTCGTACCAATAATTGAACCAAGACTGACCGTGGGAAACCTATACTCAGTTTATTCAAATTATTCGAGGATTCTTGCAAAGGTATGAGTTATTATCTGGCAAGACTGGAATTTTCAGGTTATCCATCGAAAATTATAAGGTTATTATTTTCTTACCGACTAAATGTCAGGCAGTTGAAGCTGGAAAGCTCAAAGTCCAGCAGACTATGTCCAGTAGTAAAAGTTGGCCTGTCTCTGGTGGTGTTCCTGGTCAAATGTTGTCAGCTGAAGAACATGGAATTCAGAGAATTTATGTGGCTGGCTATCAAGATGGAACTGTACGAATATGGGATGCAACATATCCAGCTCTGTCAATTTTATTTGTCCTCGGGCTTCAGGTTTGTGTGCCATATAAGAGATTGCCATTGAGAGTGATGCACACCATGTCTTTTGCTTTCCTTGACCCTATTAAACAACACTATTAAATGACTTAAGCAGCAATAGGCACTTACAGAATATCACCATGTGTTGTGCAGGTGGAGGGTATTGAAGTTGCTGGTGCAAATGCAGCAATTTCAGCTTTAGATTTTTCTTCTACTTTGTCTTTGGCTGTTGGCAATGAATATGGTCTTGTAAGATCTTATAATATGAATATAAATATTCTCTAAATGTATGGAGATTATATTAGGTCTGCAGTTTATGATCCTACCTTGTGGTTATTTAGGTTTCCCTCTATGGTCTAGATGGAACTCATGGCAGAACTAGCTTTTGCTCGGTCACACAGACAGAGCAAAAAGGTGCAATCTATGAACCTATTATGTCTTACCTGCTCAAGTGTGCTTTGTACTTGTCAAGTAATTGATTTTGGATAACATGGAAGCTATTCCGGGTCACCCTAATATTGACTGTCCTTTTATTCTTGTAAAAGGTTACTTACTAAAGGTTGAACTCTCTGGTTAATAAAGGTTGAACTCTCTGGTGGAAGAATACTTTGGCTTAATCATACTATCAACTAGAACTTCTCTGTTGCCAAGTCACTTTCTCTCTAAACTTGGTACATAACTTAAAAGGTTATCTTGGCAATGAAATTTTGCATATTCTACTTTTCTAGAATTAATAGCACCAGGTGAACCAACCATACCCTTTCTGAGTATGTGTCTATCTGCTGTTCCGCATATCTGCGTGGACGTTTTTTGAAACATTTGCAAGACTGTCCATTTTCATCTGCTGTTATCTGCTGTTTTTCATTTTACCTCTCTATATGTTTTTCAGTTTTGGATTTGCCTCATCATATTGGCTCTCAGATCAGAGCAGTATATGCGCTCCTCAATTCTCCTGTTCGTAGCTTACAGTGGGTGAAACCTGGAAATAAGCTGGCTGTTGGTTTTGAATGTGGTCAGGTGGGGTGTATGTCTAAAGTGGTACATCAGCAAGTACTAGTGCAGCTCTTCTTATTTTCTCTCTAATAGTTCAATAAGTAGCTGATTTGATGAAATTTAAAGGCCCCTCAATTTCATTGTGCAGGCTGCTTTGCTTGAAACTAGTTCGTTATCGGTTCTATTTGTAACAGACAATATATTCAGCTCCAGCTCGTCAATCATTTCTTTGGCTGTGGGAACGGTTCCAAACATTGAAAACATTAGCGTTCAGCAGTCTGAAAATAGAACTTCAGAGGAATCTTCTAAGGAAGTGATTTTTGCTTTAACTAGAGATGCAAACATTGTATTAGTGGACACTAGCACAGGGAAAAAGATGTCTGAGCCAATTCGTCCAAAGGAAGAGTTAACGGCAATTTCCTTGTACATGTTAGGCAAGTATAATCCCTGTATTATCATATTTGCTTTAATTTGCTTGTATCTAAATTTAGATCTCGATGTTATCAGAGGGTGATGCAACCGTTGCTGAAGGGGCTGAAGAGCGTATCTCATCGTCTTCTCAGCATTTGGAGGAAAGAAGTCAAGCTGAACTAGGAGATCATGAAAATCAAACTGATCCACTGGAAGATAAAAATTCGAAGGCCAGTTTAGCAACCAAAATTGAGGACTCAGTAATTTTGCTATGTTTTGAGAATGCTTTGCATTTGTACTCTACGAAATCTCTTATTCAGGTGCACATTAATGATCTTCATTTTTTAGATTGCTGTTCTTTTTTGCAGTTTGTTGTAATTTTTTCCAATGGCAGGGTAAATTTAGCTCCATCTTCGAACTTAATCTGGTCCAACCTTGTTCATGGACTACAATCTTCAGAAAAAATGGAAAAGAATATGGGCTGATTATAGTCTATAAAAGTGGAGAAATTGAAATAAGGTTAATCCTTTACTTTCTCCAAATCAGTTCTACTTGATATAATTCCTCCTTTAACTAAATTAGTGAGAGAATAGAGTCACCTGTCTGTTTTACTGTAACGTGATGTATTTTATGTTCTATTTGGAAGGTCTTTCCCAGAGCTCTGTGTGTTGGGAAGCACCTCACTTACAAAGATGCTTCGGTGGAATTTCAAGGCTAATATGGTCAGTTTGATGAGTTCTTCAGATAAAGGGCAGATTACTCTGGTTAGTCCTTCTCTGTTCAACTGTGTGTCTACTTTCTTCTCTTTCTTTATTTTGGAGGCTCAAATAAAAATTGTAGCTGAATTTGATGTTCAGAAATCAAGTCTGACTCCAAATAAAGAGAGTTGACAGTAGTTTATAGTTTGATCGTAATGTGAATGATCCACACAACCTCTTAATAACTGACATGAATATGTTTTGCGTGTTCATGTTGTTTATTGACATTATGTGGTCATATGGTTTTCTTACCAGGTTAATGGAAGTGAATTTGCCATTGTATCTCTTCTGGCCTTTGAAAATGATTTCAGGTCTCTCTCTCTCTCTCTCTCTCTCTCTCAATTTCAATATTGGGAAGCTGGTTTTATTAACTCAAAAGCTTGCTAACTCAAGCTGATGAATACTTTTTAGGACTCCGGAGTTTTTCCCTTGCCTTCATGATAAAGTTCTTGCTGCTGCGGCGGATGCCACTATCGGAATCCCTCAGTTTCAAAAGAACAAGCAGGTCGTAATATTTGGTATCACTGTGTAGTACAGTTGCGGTACATTTTTTTGGCCTGTTAATAAAATTTGTATGCCTTCTGATGCCAGACTACTGCAGCTGGTGTTTTTGGTGGTATTGTGAAGGGGCTGAAAGGATCTAAGGTGGAAATAGATGACTCTGAAGTCCGGGAAAATGTTGTTGCACATTTGGATACCATATTTTCTAGGCTTCCATTTTCGGGCACTTTGGAAAACTATGGAGATGATGAACTTGGATTGGATATTAACATAGGTAGGTGTGATAAGACTATGACATTGAAGTGTCTGCCTCTTTTATGGTCTTTTCCTACTGATCTTCTATCTGTACAGATGACATTGAAATTGATGAGCCTCTGTTGGTTGAACCACTGCCCACTGTCAACAATGAGAAAAGAGGTGAAGAAAAAAAAAAGATGCTCAACCCTTCATCTTTTCTTTCATTTACGGGCCTAACATATTCTTTACAATCCTCCAGAGAAGGGCACCGAGAGGGAAAGGCTATTTGAAGGCAGTTCTTCTGATACAAAACCTAAACTTAGGACTCGTGAAGAAATTATTGCTAAATATCGAAAGGCTGGGGTACTCTTTTTTTCTTTTCTTTTTTCAAATGACAAATGAGTCTCTAGATGCATATTATTGGTGTGCATTGTCTGACTTTTTCATGCACCTAGGATGCAACTTCTGCTGCTACACAAGCAAGAGATAAACTAGTAGAACGCCAACAGAAACTTGAGGTAATGTCATTTAACAAAAAGCCACTCCCTCTGTCCCAAAATGATTGTCTTGTTTGGATTTCATTTGTAGTGCAATTTGTACAAAAAGTGAAATTCCAAACCGGATATTCATTTTGGAACGGAGTATGATTTAGTGTGAATAATTAATCTGTCGCGTTGCTCTTGGGTTTCTCTGTATCTGTCTTCTAGTATTTCAATTTTATTCTGGATTGTGAAATTGATATATTTGTTTTGAATCTGATTGAGAATGGCATCTGAGAAAATTTTCTGGCACGATTCGTTGACTTGTAAAATTCGCCTGTCATAGAATCCTCATCTATGGTCAAAAGCTTCTTAGTTAACGGATTTTCTTGATGACACCAGAAACTCAGTGAACGCACAGCAGAACTTCAAAATGGAGCTGAGAATTTTGCATCCATGGCACAAGAGCTTGCAAGGACAATGGAACGCCGAAAATGGTGGAACTTCTAATGCTTTTTAGTTGACATATACTTGATCAGGCGATTCAGTTTGCGAAAGGGGATGGCCTGACGTTGCTGCAAAGGTAGTTAATAACCGTTTACCAGAAGCGGAGCTGATTTTGTGTATCTGTATGATAGTTATACATTTTTTCAGACTTCAGTTTGGAGAAGGTAACACACACAAATGTTGTATAGGTAAGTCTAAACTCATACGTAAGTGCACTAACAAAGTTTGACCATTTTATTTTATAATTTTTTTTTTTTTTTTGTCAATATAGAGACTGTTAACAATTGTTTATTGAACATTTTGACTCTAATAAGTTTGTCAGGTACATGATGCATTATGATTCGTTATGTTTTATCATTGGCGTGCTACTTGATAGTACTTATTATTGAATGGTGTATTTTTATTTATTTTTTTTATGGGGAAAAATATCTGTCTTTGGTAATAAAAAACAGAAATGTTTCTTGTTTCTTCCTTTTTTAAAAAAGATTTAATAGTTCTCTAGGTTACTTATAAATTTTGTCCAACCCGTCTCAAGTCATCATGAAAACGACCATAATTTGGAGGGGAAAAAATAAATTAAATTACTTACAATTTCTAAAACCTTGTTAGAGATATGAACTATCTTGGTCGGAGGAGGACGAAACTTTTTATACTGCGATTGAAGTTCTTAACACCGGCCACCTGCTATATTTTGACATAACAAACCTTAAAAACAGTAAGAGCAGATTTGACCAACTTTCAACTTTCTAATCAATCTATTATATATATATATATATATATATTAAAGCAGAGTTCTTAATCGACACCAGGAAGCAAGTTTAGTCAATTGTGTCACGTGTCGTTACCAAAATCTCCTTCATTAAACAGTTAAAATTTTATTACTAATACGTAAAATTGTTAAATTGAATTAAATAATAAACCAATAGTTAATTTTGGAAAAATAAATACGTCTTTGGTAATTATTGATAAATATATGACATAAGGAAATATTAATCATCAAATTAATAATTGTATTAAGAATACAGTTTGAAACTAAGTCTGGATACATTAAATGTAAGTTAATATTATTTTTCAGATGATTCTGTTTGATATATTTTTCAAAAATTAAAAGATATTAGTTACCAAAAAAAAAAATTGTTACCAAATAACTATATTACGAATACAATTCGAAACCAAATTTACCTAATTACAAGTATGCTAATATTATTTCTTAGATGATTGGTATATTTTTCATAAATAAAAAGAGACTACTTACCCAAATAAAGAGATTATTTACCAAATAATTATGTGAGTACAATTCAAAATTAAGTCTGTATACATTAAATATAAGTTGATATTATTTTTCTGATGATTCTATTTGATATATTTTTCAAAAATAAAAATAGATTAGTTACAAATAACAAAAAAAATATATTTGTTGCCAAATAATTATACTATAAATACAATACAAAACTAAGTCAGGATAAATTAAACGTATGTTTATATTATTTTTTCAGATTATTCTATTTGATATATTTTTCAAAATAAAAAGAGATTAGTTACTAAATAATTATACTACAAATACAATTCGAAACCAAGTTTGTAAACATGCAAGATAGGTTAATATTATTTTACAGATGATTCCATTTAATATATATTTCAAAAATAAAAAAGAGATTAATTTAAAAAAATAAAAGGAGATTAGTTACAAATAATTATAGTATGAATACAATTTGAAAAACAAGTATGGATTATTTAAATATGGATTAATATTATTTCTCAAAACATTTTATTTGATACATTTCCAAAAATAAAGAGATTAATTAACAAATCATTATATTAAGAATATAATTCAAAACTAAGTCTAAATACATTAAATGTATATTAGTATTATTTTAAATGATTCCATTTGATATATTTTCAAAAATAAAAAAAATAGTTATAAAAAATATGAAGATTAGTTGCCAAATAATTATATTACGAATACAATTTGAAATCAAGTTTAGATACATCATACATATGCTAATATTATTTTTTAAATAATTTCATTTAATATATTTTTCAAAAATAAAAACACTTTAATTTCATAACTAAGGAAAAAATTATGAGTCCAGATAAATAAAATAGGTCCTGCACCGCCAGGCACAACCTGTTTTGCTATTAAAAAAACTAAGGAAAAAGTTTGGCGTATGGATAAATATTTCAAAATCATTTATTAGTTTTTTTGTCATGGTTTTTCACCCCTATTTTTTTTTGCTTTATTTACTTTTGTTGGAATTATTTTTTATTTTGCGTTATGCCTAAAAAAAGATTGTTTATAATATTTGATTCAAAAACTACAAGTAAACAATATATGCTTTTCAGTCAATATATTTTAAGAATATACATGATTTAATTTCTTTTGTTGAAATAATTTTTATATACTTATATCCCTAAAAAAATAGGGTAGTAGACAATTAATCGTATTAATTCGTATTTAGAATTTTTTTTTTAATATACTATCACTCCTAAACAAGAAACATATTACATGGTTGAATATATTAATTTGTATTTTAAAATACTCTATATGGCTAAGAAGTATTTGATCAAAGTAGTAACAGTATTGGACCAAGTTAACTACAAATCCATGATTAAATCTGTGCATGGGCATGTAGTAATGATTGTCGGGAGAGGTTTATCTTCCAAAAGTGGCCTACCCGATTCAAAGACGGATTAATTGGAACAATGATTTCAAACACCGGATGCATTATATACCAAAAAAGAAAGAAAAAAAACTATGTGACATTCTTAAATTTGGACTCCGAATGCATAATATACCAAAAAACGAAAAAACTAAAATATGTACACTTTTCATAAAAAAATAATGGTATATTAATGTTTCTCTAAAATATAGTAAAATGTGGGACATAATACTAGTACCAGTACAACACTGGGTGGAAAAGAGCAAAATTCAAAAGCCGACCTTTGATCAAACGAAGAACAGTGACAATAGTAGTAGTAACATGCGAGCCAATTCAGACCACGTAGGCGAAATCACCAATCTCTTCGCACTTCCACACGTTTGCCTTTTGGCTTTGGGTCCCCAATCCCAAAAGGAAGAAACTTGTGTGTAACTTCGAAACTGCAAATCTCCCCCAAAAACTCAAAATAAAGTCGGAAACACACTTTGTTAGGTCAGAGAACCACTTAAAAAATATCCACATTATTACTATGTTTTAACACGAGGTCGGAGAACAAAATAAAACAACACGGTCGGAGAGGGCAAAAAATAAACATAAGCAACCAGTAGTGGTTGGTAAAATACAATTCAAACTCATCCCATTATAGGAATAGAGAAACTCTAGGCCATCAAAGTCACGTTTTCTCATATGCCTTTTTTTTTTTTTTTTGGTTTTGGTACTTCGGAGTTAGGGTGGGAAAGGGGGAAGAAAGAGAAGGGTTTATAAATAAATGATGAATCTAAGAAGATATTCATATTTGATATCGAAATCCATATAAATACATGTCTAATCGACAACGGGAACGAGAGGTCTATGTAAAAGAGGCAGAGCGAAAAAGAAAGAGAAACAAGACAAACAACGCCCAACCACGCAAGTTGAGAGTTCTTGGCTATTGGAGGAGAGGAATCTCTTTGGTGTTATCAATCTACTCACCAATTATCTTACCTTTCTCTCTTCTTAGCCCCATAATAGTTCCAAGTTCCAATTTTTATTTTTTTTAAAATTGCTCTTCTGACGACTTATATAAAAGTGGTTATTTTGTTTTAACCCTCGCAGTTTCTCTCTCTGGGTTCTCTGTTCCGAGTCTAGAGAGAGGCCTCCTCCAAAAACCCAGAGGGCCAATCCAATTTGAACCCCCTTTCCAATTTCGCGACATGGCTAGTATGGTTTTATCAGAATGTGGGGTTAGACCACTTCCCCGAATCTACGCTAAACCCACGACTGGCGCCCTAACTTCCTTCAATGCCAAGTTGAGAGTGCCAAAGCTAGATCTGGGCCGTCCTTCTTTCTCTATCTCCAGTGGGATTAAGGAGAGGAATTGGGCATTGAAGGTCAGTGCACCGGTTAGAATACCGGAGATTGAAGAAGAGGATAATGAAGGGAGGGAGAGAATTAATGGTGGCCTTAACGGGTTGGGTTCGAACCAGGAAGCTGAATTTGACCCGGCTGCCCCTCCGCCATTCAAATTGGCTGACATTAGAGCAGCTATTCCTAAGCATTGCTGGGTTAAAGATCCTTGGAAGTCCATGAGCTATGTTTTGAGGGATGTTGTCGTTGTTTTTGGATTGGCAGCTGTAGCTGCTTATTTCAACAACTGGGTTGTTTGGCCTCTCTATTGGTTTGCTCAGGGAACTATGTTCTGGGCTCTGTTTGTTCTTGGCCATGATTGGTAATTACGCTGCCATTAGTTTGAAAAAGTTTTCTTTTTTAAGACTTCTGCTAGTTTCAGCTTTACAGGTTTTGCTGTCTGGAGATGGTGTACTTATTTTTGCATCAATTTTTTTTTTTTTTTTTTTTTTGCAGCGGTCATGGAAGCTTTTCAAATAATCCGAAGCTGAACAGTGTTGTGGGTCATATTCTCCATTCTTCAATTCTTGTACCCTATCACGGATGGTTAGTTATCTTTTTAGCATTCATCTGTTCATCTGTATTCAATTTAGTCCATTGCTTGTTTCTGTGGTTTCTTTGGATTAAATGTGAATTGTCTTGAATTGTGCAGGAGAATCAGCCATAGGACTCACCATCAGAACCATGGCCATGTTGAGAATGATGAATCATGGCACCCTGTAAGTCTCTGTTCTGAGTTTGCTGGTGTGCTCAAAGATGTCTTCTTCTTTCTTTTATAATTTTTGATTGTTGGCTCATTTTACTTCATCCAGTTGCCTGAAAAGATTTTCAAGAGTTTGGACTCAATCACCAAAAAGCTGAGGTTCACCTTACCATTCCCCTTGTTAGCATACCCTGTTTACCTGGTAAGCAATTTGTCTTCTTCTAATGGGAATCATCTGATAATTAGTACATAACGAATTTTACTTTTCATTTGCTTACAAGATGACACCTTTTTATGAATAATCCACAGTGGGGTAGGAGCCCTGGGAAAACCGGTTCTCATTTCAACCCAAACAGCGACCTGTTTCTCCCAAATGAAAGAAATGACGTGATCACTTCAACCGTATGCTGGACGGCTATGGCTGCTTTGCTTGTTGGATTGTCCTTTGTGATGGGCCCGGTTCAAGTGCTCAAACTCTATGGCATTCCCTACGCGGTTAGTCCACCCTGCTTTGATTTTTGTCGCTTTTCCTTTTTGCATTTTCTTCTTGTGGTTTCGTTGTTGATTTCGTTCTCTGGGGTTTCCGCATTGATATCAACAACTATGAATGCAGATTTTTGTCATGTGGCTGGACTTAGTTACCTATTTACATCACCATGGGCATGAAGATAAGCTGCCTTGGTACCGTGGAAAGGTACGCTAATTTTCTAGCCGACTTGAGTCAAAGATTGTGTTCGAAGAAAAAATCTAAATGGAAAACACTAGTTGCAACTTTAGATCAGGTCAACTGCAATAAGATTAAGTAATACAAAATGGAATATCCTGTCGCCTTCTTCCGGCCATTGAATGATGATTTTCTTTGTCGAAATCAAACAGGAGTGGAATTACATGAGAGGAGGGCTGACCACACTTGATCGTGATTACGGATGGATCAACAACATCCACCACGATATTGGGACCCATGTTATACATCATCTCTTTCCCCAAATCCCACATTATCATCTAATAGAAGCAGTAAGTTGATATTGATCTTGACGCTAAAACATTTCAGCACTACCTTTTGGAATCAGCCTTTTTTTTGGCGTTGATAATATCACAGTCTGATCTTACTTACCATTTATTGGTGTTGTAGACTGAAGCTGCAAAACCAGTGCTGGGAAAGTATTACAGGGAGCCTAAGAAATCATGGCCTCTTCCATTTCACTTATTGGGAGTCCTGATAAGAAGCATGAAAAAGGATCATTACGTGAGTGATACTGGGGATATTGTGTTCTATCAGACAGACCCTGAGCTTGCTGGAGAATCTCAGTAATCAAATTGTAGCCCTGAATGATGTTGTTTGACTTACATATGAAGCTGGCCTGACGAAGCAGATTAGGCAAACAAAACACCATTCTTTTTGACTGACTATAATCTGCAAGCTCCGTGAGATTTCAAGCTTGTTAAGATCATAGAGTCAATCAATTTATTACCGTGTATATTTAATTTGCCTCTCCAATAACTCGAGTGGAGGGGACTATAGTTCCCACGAATCATAGAGCAAAGTCCTGATGTAATCATAGTGGAGTGGAAAAGGAAAAGGGGTGAAAAAGATGGTAACTTGATTGAATGCAATATAAGGCCATTTTACCCGGTCAGAGTGGTCCGATTCAAGATTTCAGAGCATGCCTTGTGCCACCATTTTTGTATGGTGGAGCTTTTGTAACGTGAAACTTGCAATTCGCCGAAATCTAGGATGAGATATGCCGATTGTTACTATTGTTCAGTGAGACAGACGTTTTGTATATCGAAATCAAAGGTGAGGCTGAAATAGGCCAACTATAAGGCACAAGGCAATGATCATGATGTCCTTTTCTAAACAGTAGAATCCAAATTGCACATGCTCCTTGTTTTAGTAGTAGGCCCTGTCATTCTCAGAATGCTCATTTTGTGTCCAAACCATGCTACTAGTTGAGGATCCATTCATGTGGTTCACCAGTGGTTTTCTTTCTTTTTTTTTTCTTTTTTTTTCTTTTTCCATAATTGCAGGGTGTTCATCCGTCGGCAATAATGACTAATCCCATCGCTGAATTGTAAGAACCTCAATGGATGAAACAGCTGGCCAAAATATTTAAGATTGTTCCATGCTCATGGCGAGATTCGAACCCTCGACTTATGATTTAGGGTGGAGGAGTCTCTCCTCCACAACCATTTTGGTTGGCTCACCAGTGGTTTCGATGCGGTGATAAGGTCAAATACACCCATACACTAATCAGTAGTACCATGATATCATTATCATAAAGTAATCACAACCACAATGATTGACAATATTGGTTGACAGTAGAGTTGAAATCAAATCAGGGGATTATTTCGGACAATATTAGCAACCCTATCCTATTTTTCACAGATCAAAATTTGGAGGAACGAACGGCATTCATGAAAGACGATATCAGTGATTGATCCTTCTGAATGCCATCAGCAGCGCAAATACCACTGCTAACATCTACTCCGTGTGGTTTAAGAGTTGAGAGTGCCTCGGATACATTGTTTGGATTAATTCCTCCAGCTAATAGCCACCCGTGTTTACTTCTAATCGGAGGCAGCTTGAACCTGGACCAATTAAAACCCTTACCACTGCAAAACCACAAATCAAAAATTGTCTGCATTAGCCCATTCCCATCTTTAAAATGAATAAATAAATAAATCTGATCGTGTGTTCCAAAATATCAGTTCCACAAGTGCACAACTCCAACACAAAAGTTGATTCACCTTGCCACAAGATGTGGCATTAGCAACATTACCTAATGGTAGCACAACCAATATAAAAAATAGAATGCTTATGATGATCGTTACCTTTTTCTGTTTAGGACTCAGAAAATAGTCGTGCATTTTGAAAACTTCTGTAATTTTTATTGTTATGTTTTTGTAGTCTGCTACCACCTACAACAATCTCTCCTTAGGCTACATTCATATTTGAAGGAAATAAAAATCTCAGCATATTCAATGTGTTTTTCATTTTATGTTAAATCTAGATAATAGATAGGGGAAACAAGTGTTAATGATGGTATTCAGCATACTAAATGTGTTATGCATCCAAGGTTTGACGAAGTATTACCTTCCACCTTTGGCGCTGTCAACAAGAATCCAATCAACTGCTGAACATTCTTCATCAGAAATAGAATTCATGAGGGCTCCATGTTCATTTGCATGAAGCACAAATATTACTCGATTTTCTTTCATGACGATAGGAAAAGCAGCCCGAGAACGACTTCCATGCAGCTGCATCATAAAAGATATGTAAGCATTGAGGCTTAAGCAATGCCAGATATTTCTAATTCTGGAACATAGTTACCTGCACAAACTCCAGGTCTGCAGCTTCAGAAACCCTCAAGATAGTGTCAGCGTCATCGTCCACAAACACTCCGACAGGCTTCGCTCCATTCTCCCGTGCAATCCTGGAGATTTCCTTTGCAACAGAAACTGAAACAGAACGCTTTGAGTTTGGCCAAACAATCATTCCAACGAAATCAGCACCAGCTTCTGCAGCAAGAGCAGCGTCTCTAGCTGATGTTATTCCACACATTTTAACTAAAGGCCTTATTTCCCTTTCTCCCGCATTAACAGGAGCAGAAGCATCAGACCGAATAGAAATGTGTGCTCTCCCATTGCTTACACAAGCTTTTATCTTTTGTGCATGTACGCCCGCAGGGAGGCCTGAAAACAAGATATCACGGTTCCCCAGATTACTGCAATTGATATCACAGAAAAAATCAATACAAGATTTAAAGAAGAATCATTTGGTCTAAATAAGATGGAAACAGGCTTAATGCTGGTTGAAAGCAAACAAATGAAGCAAACTGAAAATAATTTAAACCTCCGATAAGTAGATGTAACAACTCAAAAACTACTACCTGATTTATATTGCAGGATATGTACGATGTGTCAGGTTCTACCAACACAACTCGAAGCAGAATAACGCGGTAGCACCATGCGAAGGGAATAAGCAGGATAGTGAGGCATTGTATCAAACAGCTCATGCTCGGAAATTAGAGTTAGCTTTTAGATAACAGAACATTTACCCTTACTCAAAACATTTAAAATCACTTTCGGTGATTTTATCATCTATACAGGAATACAATCCCAGCCCAAAAAATTTTGACGAAAGTTTTCATAAAATAACCCGCAAATTAGACAGAACAAACGAGCTACCAAAACAGAGAAAGTAAAAAGGATCACTAGCATTACCTCGACATCTGGAAATGGGGAAGACCCTGGTTTGAAATCGCGTCCCTACATCGGAACCTGAAGAAAAGGATGCCCAAAACATCAAATACTCTGAAAAATGTTGCAGAATCTGTGCAGTCATAAGCAAACTGGTACAAATAGAGAACCTGCTGAGACGGAGAGCATTTCCCCTCTCCTCTTCACTAAATCTTCTTCAGTCAGAAACAAAGTGTAGCTCCTGGGCTCCAAAGGATAAAGCTGACCAATTGTTGGGCCGAAGCCCAAAATTTTTACCTATTTGGACTTCTCGAATTTGGGCTAGATAATCTGTCGGGACTTGACGTCATCGTTGAAATTTCTGGGAAAGGAGAAAAAAGAAGTGGTTTCAGCAAAAACCCTCAAGAAATAGAACACTCTTCTCTGGTTGAAGAAACAAAGCAGGGGCTTTTCCCTCTCGTTCAATGCTCCAAACCCTAAGGAAAGCCAGAGCCATTATCTCCACACCATTTCATTTCAGTGTTAAATCCCCATTTTTCCAAAAAGCCCTTTTTACTACATCATCTTCCCTCGCTGTAATTCAAAATCCCATCAAAATAGTCACCAAAGCAGACCTCAATTCATTGGTACTCGCCCACTACCGCCATGGCAAGTTCTACGGCCTCCTTCAGAACGTTGTCGCTTCGCCTTCAGTCCTCCTCACAGCTTGCCACAATCTCAGGCCGTCCGGTTCCGGTTCCGACGAGCCACTCACTCTTGATTCAGTCTCGGCGGAGTTTTTCTCCCTTGATGAACTCTCTTCCCAGCTTAATACAAACGGGTTCGATGTTGATTCTTGCTGCTATACTATCCCACCTTCGACCCTCAAAGGTAAATCCCTTGTTCTTCCCAATTTGAAGCTCAAAGTAGTCATTGAAGCTATTAGGATGGTTCTTGAGACTGTATATGATGATAGATTCGTTACATTCTGTTACGGTGGTCGTGTGAACATGGGACGGCATACCGCGATTCGGTATTTGAAGAATTCTGTGGAGAATCCTTCGTGGTGGTTTACGGTTTCGTTTAATTCTGGCGAAATTTTTGCTACCAAACATGTTGACAAGTTGTGTATGATTATAGGAGATAAAGTAATAGATGAACCTCTTATTTGTATGATCAAAGGATTGTTTAACTCAGGGGCAGTTAGGATTGAGTTGGGAGGTTCCTATTTGGGCAAAGGATTTCCTCAAGAGTGTGCGTTAAGCTCGATTTTAATAAACATTTACTTCAACAGTTTGGATAAGGGAATTCAAGAATTCCGTCTCCAAACCAACAGGGAGAATCCAAAGTTTGGGCCCAGTGAGCTTGTTGCTGAATCAGCTGATAATGTTCGCTATAAGCCATTGAAGATTTATGCTGTTCGATATTTGGATGAAATGCTTCTAATTACATCTGGGACCAAAATGTTGGCTATGGATTTCAAGAGTTGGGTTGTTAAGTATTTGGAGGATAATTTGGAATTGCAGGTTGATAAGGCTAAAACTGTAATTCATAGTGCTTTCTCTGAGAAGATTGATTTCTTGGGAATGGAACTTCAGGCTGTTACTCCTTCGATTTTGCACCCTGTTCCTTCTGAAAAGGCCATTCGGGCACGGAAGAAGTACCTTAGGCAGAAAGAAGTCAGACTACAGGAGTTAAGAAATGCGAGAGAGACTAACAGGAAGAAGTTGGGTTTGAAAATAATGCGCCATGTTTTAAAGAGGTTAAAGCGATTTGATGACGTCGAATTTGATTTTCAGATAGAGGATGAAGTAAATCAGATTTTTAGAACATGGGGAGATGAAGTGGTGCGAGGATATCTGGCATCTGTGGATGCACGATGGGAATGGCACCGGATGTTGACGGGTGGTAATTTTCTTTCCTTGAAAAAGATTAGAGATCAATTGCCTCAAGAACTTGTAGATTCTTACGACAAATTTCAAGAGCAAGTTGACAAATACTTGAATCCTGTTAAAGCGAAGAAGGCATTGGAGGAGAAAGAGAGAAGAGCCGAGGAAGAACATGAACAAAGGTATGCTGAAAGAACATTCAAGGATTTGACAACATTACGCATTAAAGTTGATGCTCCAATGGAACACATCAAGAAAGCCGTCAAGATGATTGGATTTACCAACCATATGGGTCGTCCTAGGCCAATTAGTTTGCTCATGGCTCTTGAAGATAGTGATATTATCAAGTGGTATGCTGGTATTGGAAAAAGATGGCTTGATTACTTTTGCTGCTGTCACAATTTCAAGACGTTAAAAGTTGCTGTAACCTATCATCTGAGATTCTCATGTATCTTGACATTGTCAGAGAAGCACGAATCTACCAAGCGTGAGGCAATGAGGCATTACACAAAGGATTTGAAAGTGTGTAACTTGAATGGAACGGAAGAGTTCTACTTTCCAACAGAAAGAGAAGTAAATATGATGGGTGATAAAAACCTCTCTGATCCCTTGCCCGTTGACGGGTCTTTAATGACAGCTCTAATCAGATTGGCCTCAAATGAGCATTGTTATCGCTGTGCTGCTCATTTCTGTGATAGAAGAGACACAATTGTTTATAGAGTTCGGTTATTGTATAATGACAACTGCAGTGAGATACGATTGGATCAAAGAAAGGGGATTCCAGGGATTGGCTTACTTCATGATTGTTTCAATAGGAAATGTGTACCCCTTTGTTCTGATCATGTAAGTGAATTTTACATGGGCAGACTAACATTCCAAGACATAGATTGTGTATCTATTTTTGACGGTTAATTTTATGAATAAATAAATGTTTCTGCTGCCAGATCTGGACTGTGCAAGCCAATTGTGCGCGTTGCCTGAAATGTTTTTGGAAGCATCTCCGTTAGTATTACAGAGCTCAGGTTTCGGTGTTGTAATAAAAGTGACTGTTTTGCAAGCTAAGGTGTTTTACCAGTTTGCTTGATTGTGCTATTGTGGACTGTAGGGCTGTTCTTTTGAAGAAAACCGACCCGAACCGAACCGTTATTTTGGTTCAGTTCGGAAACGGGTCAATTTCATTTGGATCACAAATAGTTTTGGTTCGGTTCGGTTCGGTTCGGATCAGGTTAAGTTTCGTGTCTAAACCGAATTGACCCGAAATGAACTATTTTGTTAGTGATGACGTCATCAAAAGTGATGATGATGTCATCACACCGGAGACGGTCAAAGTCGCCGGAATTTTGGCCAGAAGTTATCGCCGATGGCGACCGGCAGCGGTGGTCAAAGGTAATAGCGGCGGTCAACGACAATATTATTAAAATATAATTATTTACTTTTTGATTTTGGATTTTTTCGGTTCAATTTGAATACTTTTTTGACCCAAACCAATCCGAAATTTTCCAATTTTTGAAATCTTCGATCTAAATTGATTTGAACCGAAATTACAATTTCGGTTCGGTATCGATTCGGTTCGAATCGTTGGGTCGACCCAAACCGCGATTCAAAAAGAGCAGCCCGAATCGGGAAAGTGAGACTTCAAGTTCGAATTGTATCTTAAGTCACAATAGCTCAGGACAAACTGTTTAGTTCCTTGAACATTTGGAGCTTGGACAGTGGAATAAGTCAAGGAATAAAATGAAATCCTCAATTTATCAAAATAATCTATGAGGACACTTATACAGTTGTACTTCATCAGGTCTTTAATATAAGGTATTTTGATTTCGTCCTAAGTTTCATCTATTACATATTTTTAATTGACAAAAAACCTTTAAAATATTTCATAACAATCAAGAGAATATAATGAATGTGAAAATATATAGTTTTAAGATTTTTTCGTCAATTAAAAATACGTAGTCGATTAAATTTAGGACGATATCAAAATACCTTATATTAAAGATTTATATTAAGGAGAGGAGGGAGTACTAAATTTTAGATCCATGGGTGAGTAAAAGGCATGGGCCGGGGCGGCTAGAAAAAGCATAGAGCAAGAAACAAAATCAAACCTACTCACCAGGCCACCGACTCGTTATTTAATTAGTAATGTTTTTCTACCCAGTGACCAACGAATACTACATCCGGGGGGGGGGGACCCACTGAAATTGAATGAATAAACAACTTCTGAAGAAAAAGTAGTACGATTATTGTTAACGGATTGCCAGCGTTTTGCCGGGTCATCTTCTTTGCCTTTCTCTCTATTATTCTGTAGTTTCACTTTCATACTCAAACCAGACAACGAGAGATATTTTCCGATGAAAATCCAAACGGCCCCTTAAATTTTGGACATCATTCTTGTACTCTGCCTGCCTTGTAGTTGCCGTGCCTGCCTGCCTGCCTTTCGAGAATAATCTTCTACCCGTCCCCCAGAATTTCTGAATGTGTCCTCTGCGCTTGTTTTTTTATTAGTATGTGAATTTTCTCGATTAATATCTTCCCCAGGATTCAAGCTGAAATACAAATGGATTTTCTCAGGTTTTTGTAAATTTTGGTTTGGCCGATGTAGTCTTGAGTTTTAACTACAATGTCAAATTAACTCTTACTTTGAAATAGAAAAATTACAATCAATGAATGATTAAACCAGAACATTCTACTTATGTTTCCTGGATTCCTCGTTATAGATTTCAGAAATCTAAGGAATGATGTGAACTTTTTCTTTGCGTTTTGATCAATTTAGCTGTTTACTGTGTAGGGATGCCTATGAAAGAAAGGGCTAAGAAGCAGAACACTGAGAAACTGAGAAAAGATTAGAAAGGTTATTTCATTTGTCTATTGAAGAATACATGGAAAGTTGCATCCCTCGAGTTTCAGGGAATGAAAGAAATACATCTCAAACATTTATTCCTCACTCTAATTCTTAAAGCTATCAAACAATAGATCAGTTATCCTAACCCCAAATCTTTCATCAAACTAACTAGGGAAAACCAATGATCACCATATACTTTCTTCTTTCTACAAATATGAATTATGAAAAGAATACTATAGAATAAAGAATATGAATACAATCCAATAAACGGATTGAAGCAAATGCATCGTAGCCAATTGTTGTTGGTTAAGCTACCATCTGCTCCTGCTCTATGTACAGTTGATCAATCCATGATGGCATAATGTCATTGAACCCTCCATTACGCTTCTGCTCCGAGCTAAATAGTTGCCCGGCGTTCCCAGCTGGAACGTCTTTCACCAAGGAATTGACCCAAGAAACATCAGGTTCATCTACAATTGGAGTCCTGCCACTTGTTATTGGCGAAGCAGAATTCCCGTTGTTGCGATACGCAAAAGATGCTGATTTTCTCAGCTTGTTAAGATCATCACCTCCACTGAAACCCCAATCCAACTTCCCATCAGGGGAGCCCCAGTCGGCAACATTGGAAGCTGACATGGTCGGGGAATTAGCATAGGCATTGACCCCAGCACGATGGTTAACAGCGCCACGGTCAATGAAGCTCTGGCTGCGCTTTGCAAAGGCAGATGATCTCGAGTTCATGACTGCGGCCGCAACAGCCGCGGAAGTGTCAAAGCCAGCCGGTGGAGATGACTTCCTCACTGGAGATGAGGAAACATTGGAAGGATAGCTGGCTCGAAGTTGGTTCATGTTTTGGCGCATCCGAACCCCAGTTGGAGACTGCATCTGGGAGCTGGAAGATGCTTGAACTCTAGGAGAGAGACTCTGCAAATGAGACAACAAAGATGGGTCGATAGACCCAAAAACATCATCAAGATTAGTTGGCTTCAAATCCCCAATCCTGTTGTAATCCTTGTTCCAGGAAGATGGAGAAGCAAGGCCAGCCATCTCATCTATCAATTGCTGCCTTTGTTGCTGTTGTGTCCTTATATTTTGCATTTTCAGCAGTTCCAATTCCAACTCCAGGTCCCTCGCATTCAAAGCTGTCTTTAGACGGCTTCCGGGGAGCTGAAGTGTAGGTGGTGTAAGGTTCATTTTGCTCTGCCACATGCTGGTGCTCATTGGAGATGAGCACGCCGCTGAAGGTGACATGGGAGGGGTTGAAGTAGTTGGCATCAACAGAGAGGATGATCCGAGAGCCAACGGACTCAAGGTGGTCATGTCCATTGAACTAACAGAACCAGACTTTGGTGAAGGCACAGCTGAACCAGTTGAGGCATACAAAGGCCGCAACTCTTCCAGTTTGTGAGCAAAGAAGCAAACTTTTCTTGCACACCCAGTCTCATCCTTGCAAAGCCTGGTTCTGTATTGTGCAGGATGAAGCCATGACTCAAAAACACCATGGGCATACTCGCAAGCATCAGCCTTTGCACATGTCCCCTTCTTGAAGTCAGGGCAAGGGACACAGCTGTAATGGTACTTCCTAGGATCACGCCTCCGGGCATTCTCACCGGGATGGACAAAAGGGCACTCTGTCCAGTCATGGGAATAAGCCCTTGAGCAAGGCTTCACCTTGAAGCTGTACATCCTGAACTCATCAGTACCATAAAGACCGTTGTTTATATCAGGCAATGATACATCAATTGGGTATTCTTTCTTCTCAGCTCCTTCTTTTCCCTGAACTATTGCGCTTCCGAGGTCATCCTCTCCCTCAGAAACCTCAGCAGTAATGCCTTTCAGCAACATCTCCAGTGATTTCCTTTTTGAGTAGCTCAAGGATTTCATACCAGGAGCAACCAGATCACAGGGCCTATTTCCATTGGCATCAAGAGAATTAACATCAGCAGCAGCATCAAGCAGCATCTTGACAACCTCAACTGACGAGTCCGAACCACCAACGGCAGCACAGTGGAGAGCAGTCACCCCATCTGAACCGTAAGCCCCGTTGACATCAATCTTTCCACTTTGAACAAGATAATTCAGAACCTTGGTACTTCCATACATGGAGGCAATCAAGATAGGGGTTCTCTCCTCAAAACCCATCTTCCTAGAACCAATTCTTCTTCCATACCAATAGCTCAACTCGTTCAAATCACATCCCTTCTGTTCAACTTCCGATATGAAGCCAGCAAGATCATCTGTAGCTGACAACTCCAGCAACTTGGAGCAACTTTTACATGAAACTTCATCTCTTTTCGGCTGATATTTAGCCTCCATATTTAAATCCAAGGGGCAAGGCTCAGTTTCTGAACCACTGCACATGAAACCCTGCAAAGAAAAAAGACCAATACCCTTTAATACACAAAACATAAGTTTATATCATCACCATGACATACTCAAGATTGTGAATACAGAACACCAAATTATGGTATAAAATTCAACTTCAACCAATTATAGAATTTTGGTTTACTGGGTCTCTTTGAAAAAAAAAAAGCTTATCTCTTTATATCATACAAAGGGTTGCCTCAAGAAGACATTTCTTACATCAAATTAACTAACCATTTGACCAAGCAAAGATCGTGAACTCAAAGCGTCGTCAGAAAATACTTTTCAGTTTTTCACCAGGGTTTCTAGAGACAAAATGAGAAAGTACTAAAAACTCCAAGGTAAGAAAGACACAACCCGTGATTGAATAAACAAACCAATCAAGCTCACAAAATTGGATCTTTGCAGCAATGCAAGAGACAACAACTCAAACTTAAAAAGATACTTTCTTTAATACTTTTTGGCATGAAATAAAACAAGTTTAAGAGAATTTGGAGACATTGGAAATAGAGAGAACATACCTTGTAAATGTCGAGAAAAATTTGTTGTTTGTTTTCAAATGATGTTGGAGACTAATAATAATAATGAAACAAAACAAGGAAAGAAGAAGTTAGCTGTATATATGGGTTTGTTTAGCTGGGAAGAAAGAATGAGTCTGGAGTTTATATTAGTCTTTGGGTGTGGCGTTTATATTAGTTCTGAAAACAGAGTGGAAAAAAAAATGGGTAGTAAAAAGGAAGGTAAGGAAGGAGGATGGAAAGTGTGACTTTTCTTCTTCCTTGTTTCTTAATTTTCCTTTCTTTTCTTACTTGGCTCCTCTGCCCCCCACTTTTCTGTGTGTGTGCGTGTGACGCCAGTGTGTGTATTACTGTGTGTGGTCTTTTGGTCAAAGTCAAACCTTCAAAGAGAAGGCGGGTCCCACCTTCTCTCACACCACCTCTGTGTTTCACTGGTTCTTCGAGCCAAAAATCCCACACAAATAAAACGTTGAAAAAGGTTGAATGAAATGCGAAATGAAATTGAAATGCAAATTCAGATGCAGATGCAGATGCAAATGCAAATGCAAATGATTCAAATTCCAGATGCGCTTCGCCTTTTTTTTTCTTCTTCTTTTCAGTAGGTACTTAGTGGAGGGGAAGACCGGGGTCCACCTTTGGTCCTTTGAAAATAATATTATGATTATTATCTCTCTGGGAATTTCTGAACCGACTCAACGGGTTTCTTTTCTCGTTTCTGCTTCACGTGCGGCCTTCTTCGCCGTTCAGACTTTTTTGCGCGATACATTTCATTTCTAGGAGCGTTGATTGAATTCTTGTGTCCTATAAATAAAATAAATAACTTACTAAATTATTAATATTAGTTTACATATCCTTTATACATTTATTCAGTCGTTACAGGACCCAAATTTTATAACAGAATATTTAATTTTATCAGCACGACATTGAAATTTCATTGACGAATGTAAAAATAACAATTTTAACATGAGATTTATTCCGTTTCATAAAAATAGTTCAATTTTAAAATGTGTAACTTTTTTTTAATCAAAGAAACAACTCATTTTATATTTTGAACTTCCATTTGTGCCCCTGATTGAAAGCTTGTTACCTCTTCCCCTCCCAACCTCGATCACTTTTTCGACCATAGCACCGGAGACCAACGCCCGTCAGCAACTTCTCTCCTTCCTATTCACCACCATTGCTACCAGTTTTATTTTTCTTCCCAGAGTTTTGGCCTTAATATCTTGTATCACTTCTCTTGTTTTTGCCTTTAATCCCGCCGCCACCTCAATCGCCTTTGCTCTTCGAGATGCTGAAATTTTGTCAACGTTAAGGAACTCATCAAGTCCGATAGTCGACGAGGTGAGTTTGCGATTATACTTTCCAGGTTTTCTTCCTCCTTTTATTGGCAAGGGGTTTGGGTGTATAATCCTCGGGTTGAGGAGGATCCATCGCGAATTTTTCCAACTCTTCCAAAAGAGGATTCTCGATTGTTCCTTTAATGTCCAGAACAAAGAAGGTGTTCTTGAAGATTTTCCTCACCATGAAGAAGTTTTACAATTTCTCAATAATTTTGCTAATGATTTTGGGCTACTTGAGCTAATTCAATTAAAACACAAGTTGTTCGAGTTGAACAATTAACCAAAACTGGACGGTGGATGGATGAAGGAAGGGGGTTCAAGTCTGGGTGATTAAATTTGTTTATTAAAAAAGGGTAGTTAAGTCATTTTATTTCTTTTAATTTTAATTTTTTTTAAACTGGATTATATTTTTAAGACAAGAATTTTTATTAAACCGAACTATTTTTGTGACACGAAAAGAGTATTATTAAAATTATTGTGTGTTCCGATATTGTGTTTAGCTTGAACCTCTTTTGTTGTATAGGGAAAAAAAATAACCAAAAAAACTAGTTGATACAAAAGACACCATAAAGTAACTAAGTAAGTACTTAAAAAATTTGGCTCGCGAGCAACTTGTGTTAATTACTATGATTTTATCATATCGTATCCTTCAAGAAAATACAAACATCTTACAAAAATGCGTTTAATTCAAATAAAAAAGAGACACATAAAAAAAATCCCTTTTCAAATTAAAAGAGGCTAATTAATAGTTTTAAGAGACTAAATATATAGTTTAATTAGTTCTGGAAAAGGTGAGATATTACGAAGGAAAGTACAGTTTTTTGAAAAAATTATTTACATGAATTACTAATATCTATAATATTAGGAAGAACACTGGGTGGAATGTAAATTGTAAAGCGATCGATACATCTGTGTTATTGTTTTAGGTACAATAAAAGTAACAAAAGCCAAATTACTAGTGATTAAAACACTGCATGAGCAAAAACCATTGACAACATGATATTTTAATCACTATCTAATTCCTTCTTATAAAGTGTTAAAGTTATTCTAAATTCATTTAGTCAGGTCTACCATAAGATCAACAACAAAGTTTGTTTCTGCTCGGGGAAAAAAAAAAAGAAAAGAAAAAAGAACAAGCTCGGCTTGAAATGCACTTTGTGATATCGTCATATCCCCCCTTTCCAATTTTCTTTGACCCACAAGAATCACTTAGGATAACATCGCTGCTCCGAGACAGAAAATCAGCTTTAGATTCCGAGCTAAGCTTGGCCAAGAAACAAAAAGATACACTCTAATATGGTACTCCCTCTGTCCCAAAATTATTGTCCGGTTTGAAATTTCACTTTTAATATAATTTGAATTAAAAATGAAAATACAAACTGGACATAATTATGGGACGGAGAGAGTATTAATTAAGGAACTACAAGCAAAAACTATTTGAACCGGAAGACCTAATCATGTTTTAATGTTCGTACTAGCTAGATTGTAGAACTATATTGAGATTGGGTATTCATAATGTTAAGAAAACTATGCAATTATACTTTAAGATAAAACTATACAAATATACTTTAGATAATATAAGACTGAATAAAACAATAAAAGAAGTAAATACTAAATTACTTGAAGAACATATAATGTAATTTCTATACACAGTAGTGAACGTGCGTTGGGTGGAGATATTCATGAAATTGATTCCATTTAGCATATACTCCGTTCTGTATTAATTATTATAATTAAATGGACGGAATATAACTCAACAATATTCTTTTGCCTTTTCTTAAATAACTAAAGAATTTCCAAGGAATGAAATTTAAAGTACAGTCGATCTGTGATAATTAATAGTACCATCTCTTCCCATCAAGCACCTTATTGAAATTTCAACCCTTTGAATTTTGACAAAACAATTATTGGTTCAAACACATCTTATCATACACTATCAAAATGTACTCCATAGAATAAAATGCATCCCAGGGCTTCTAGTACTATTTTTCAAAGTTTTCGGGTTTGAACAATTATTGATCTTTAAATACACAAACTAAGGGTGATATGGAAGACAGAATAATTATCGCAATAAGAATATTGGTGTATTGTACACTAAAAAGAAAAGAAGAAAAGATGGTGTTCACCAATTAAGTTATTCCCGCCTCATCATTTAAGGACTCATAAATCATACTAATACTCATGTGAATCAGATAATATCTCATGTAAAATATGCATAAAAATGCAATCTATAAATAAGACAAAAAGGTTGCTGCTAAGCGCCATAATTTTTTCTTTTAAGCGCCTTAAAAAGATGGAAAAAGATAATTTTACACTTAATTTTTACTATTTTTTGAAAAAAAAAAAGGGGTGAGAAAGAATTGCACCAGCCTTTCGCGTAGGAGAAACACGCCACCCCTTGGGGAAATAATCTCGCCCCCCTGAAAACCTTCGCCTGGCGCCCCGGTTGGCGAGCAAATCATTTGATGGGTTAACTTAAATATTTAGAGAATATTTTTTAATTACGTATTATGTTCATAAGTTATAGTTGTTATATTAAATAGGTAAATTTTTTGTTAATTATGTGTTTAGTTTGTTATATGTTTAAATTATGTTAATTACGTTGTATGTTCGTATGAAATAGTTTTGTTTTGTTAAATATGCGTTTAATTTATTGTTAGTTTAGAAAGAATTAGCTAATTAGGTAGTATGTTCATAAGTTATCGTTGTTATATTAATTAATATGGTAAGTTTTTGTTAATAATGTATTTAGTTTGTTATTAGTAAATATTATATTAATTAATTATTTTTAAAGTATAACATTATTATATCGGATTAAATATTATATTTTTGTTTATAATGAATTATTTGTAGTTTAATATTATTATAATTAATTTAAGTTATGATATAATTCATTTTTAATGTGTGCATGATATGTTTGATCAGGGGGATGGCACAAATTATAGTTCGGCTTTTGCTACAAATGAGACTTTTGTCGAAAGGTCTGACACTATTGCATATGCGAAGGGTATTACAAATATATACAACATGGAGTTAAGTATATCCTCGCATCAGGATAATAATACTATACTCCTTTGTCATAAAGGAGGCCGGTACTAAGGTCAACAGGTGGATGAAACCATGCTCGTCCAACCCAATA